TGGAAGCGTCCCCTCAACGTGCCACAGAGCACTTTGTGGGCATGCACTGTTTAATTCAGAGAGTGACGGAAACATCGCCTCCCAGCATCTCTAAGAGAACATGGAGGCGGCTGGATGCATAATCGCTTATGAAGGCATGAAAGCAGAGAGGATAGGTTCACTAGTTCTGCATCAGGCATTCACCATTGTGGAGAACAGTTGGAAGCACTTCGTCCTTCGTGGTGCCAAGCAGAAACAGCACCAACGACTAGAGACGGCCCTTCTGCATCACGCTCAGCGCCAGGTATGATGGAAGCTCGATCTCAGTCAAAATGGCTTGCTCGTGACAGAAAACGCACGAGTCTATGCTGCCTTTTGAAGATTAGAAAAAGCTGTCAGCAAGGAGGACCCAGATTGCCATCGAGTGACAGGTTCTTCTGCCCCGTCGAGCAGCACCTGCATCACACAAAGCAAAGAGTTGTTGCATTATTGATACAGTGATGCCGCTTCAACAACTTTTGTAATAACCGTCACATGCACGTGGAGGAGCGTGGCTGCAGGAGCACAAAGACAGAGCTTGACAAAACTAGCTTAACAGCGGCAAGCACGGACCACACAAGCTGCACAGGTACCTGTACCACATGAGCTATACTCTAAACTCCTAGTATTCCCCATAACGACCTCTATAGTAGTCCCCTAGATAATCCCCTATATAACCCCCCTTTAAGGAGTTTAGACTGTGGCTCACATGCTGCCATGACAAAGCCAGAGATGTAAAAGTCTATGCGTCCAACTCAAAGCTGCAAGACCCGTTAGAGCAAAACGGCCGAGTATGCTTTTGCGTGCCAATATACTATAGTAGTTTCCATGTTCTCCAAATATGTAGACCCCTACGTAAAGCCGCATATAACCCCAATATATAGCCCCGATATATATATATATATAGAGATATGTGCATATATATATATATGTATGTATGTTTCCTCCTGGCAAGGCTAGCTTGTTTGGGTTCTTGGCATCCCTGCCGACGTCAAGTCCTCAAAGCCTTGAGATCTGATAGCTGTCCACTGGGCTGCTGTACAGGAACTTAAATCAAGGTTGTTTTTTTTTACAGCCCCTCGGCCTTTTATTAGGGTTTAGGGTTTTTGGCTTTATAGGGTTTACGGTTTACGGTTTAGGGTTTATAGGGTTTATAGGGTTTAGGTGTTGTTGCTTTAGGGTTTAAGGTACTATATTATCGCCCTTGAGGGGACAATCACATGGAAAAGAAAATTGAGAATGAAATGGAAACTGGGTGGAATGTAGGGATTCAAGGAGCTCAAGTTAAGTTACTATGTGGGGAAACCCTATGATTTACAAAATATGTACCCATTATGCTAACTTGATTTAAGTTCCTTGACAGCAACCCGGTCCAACACAGATGCATGGCACAGAGTTCCCGTTCAAGGCTGCGGAGGCCATAGTACGCCAAAGGAAAAGAGGAGGGCGTGCAGTCACGCTAAACCCTAAACCCTTAACCCATCCAGTCTGTTGGGGGTGTGTCCCCAGATCCGTCTTCAACAAAACAAGCTTGAGATCAGAAGCATCAATCCGTTTTGCCAAAGGCCTGTGTGGCCTTGTTGCCATACCATAATACACTATTATTCACCATGATATACCATAATTTCCCATAATATACTATCATTAATATACTAGAATATACCATACTATACCATAATCAACCATAATATACTATGATATGCAACTGGTTCCCAGGCCCACCTGGAGGAGCACAGACTCAGGAGCAGCCGATGTGGCGCCGGTGTTCTGCGTGTCCATGCTGGCCAGGGTAGGCATAGAAACCACAGAAAGCCTCGAAGGCTGCTGCTTTGTATTGGGATCATGGAAAATAAGATGGAAACTACTATATTATTCTAGGGATTATATAGGGGGACAGGGGTATGCATAAAAATTCTGATAGATCCCTTCTGAAGTTTGAATTGTTGCGACATAAGGTATCAGGCTTTGTCTGATGCCAGCTCAACAGCCGTCATCGTAACACACACGCTACAACAAGGCAGGACTCGGGAAGGTGGTGGTGGATCGCCCAGCAAAGGTTCTCAAATCTTGTGGGATTTCTCACTATGATAAGACACCCTACGGCAGGAATCAAATGCTTGGGCCCAACTTGATTCCATCCCTACTTATCGCCATTGATCATACAGTGAGCCACGATAGCTGCATCACATCACAGGACATGACAGGCAAACGCCTTCCACGGTTAATAGATGCCGCTTTTCGTGGCTACACTCTCTACACCGGTGAGAAAAATCTTGAGGGGGTGGCAGAATTTCTCGCGTGCTAATCCCCCGACCAGGTGAGGCCTGCTAAACTGCTAAACCATTGGCTCGTGGATGTTGCTGGCACCTAAATGCTAAACCTGGTGGTGGTTTTGCTGCTTGCTGCTGAACGTGTTAGCAACGCTTGGCATTTCGGTCCGGGTTGCCACACTTCTGGTATCTTGCCAGCCTTGCGCCGGCTATGGCACACAGCTATTAGCAGCTAGCAAACGTTTCCTTAGCAGTTTCTCTGCTGTCTAAGCAGCCTGCGTGGTCTCATTTGTGAAACCAGTATTCTCGAACTTGTTTTGGAAACAAATTCAGAACCCAAACAAAAGCCCTTGTCCCTTGGGACGACGCATTTGAGGCTCCAGCGGCACACTCCCTTCCCGATTGACTGTCTCAGTGCCATCGCCAGCCTAGCGGGCCCCCAGCAGCTTGAGAACAAGAACTAATGAAACAAGTCGCCTTCAAAAGGTTTGCTGAAAACTAATGTGCATGTGTCAACGTTCGAATACGGGAATTATATAGGGTCTTCTACAACTGCTTACGGCCTGGCAGTATGATCCAACCCGTGTGCGCAGTCAAGCCCCCTGCCCAAGCTGGCATTCGAACACTATGCGGACCAGCCTCAGCGCTTGTCCTGCTCATTTGAGCTATAGTCTAGACTCCTAGCATCCCCCTTAGCAGTCCCTTATAATACTCCCCTATTTAACCCCCTTTAAGGAGTTCAGACTATAGCTCATTTCAGAAATGGAGTGTCCCGAGTAATCAGTAATACAGGCAAGAAAAGTCCTCTCCTCCTGATTTTCAGGAAATTGCCATGGGAGCATTACAGCCGTCTTTACCCACACCCTATGCCGCTTCGCCTAAATGTGGAACAAGACAACTGCTCACTGGTGTACAACTATGGCGTCCTGACGTTCGCCATCGGTGCCTGCAAGGTGGTGCATGGCTCGAGGGAGAAATTCTTGTCAAGCTGCCATGGCCACAAGCAGGTTACATATTGTTGGTAGCACATCGGATCATAGTGGCAACGGTACTGTGGATGACTGCCTCATTCGTACAAAGAACTGACACCTTGTGTCTGGGTTGGATAGCAGCACTTAACGTCAAAGACGTCATAGTCGTCTCGTGTTGTCGTTTTGCTCATCGATGTGGCGGCAGCGGCGGCGGCAACAGTAGCAGCAGCCACAGTAGCAGCAGCCACAGTAGCAGCAACAGTGGTAGCAGCAGCAACACTAAAAATGTTAGTAACAGCGGCAGCAGCAGCAATAATTGTAGCAGCGGCAGACATGCAAGTGGTGGCAGTCCCAGGTCTGAGGGTGATGGTGCTCGCGGCGCTGGTGGCAGCATGGGTGGAAGCATCTCAGTCCTTCAAGTCCGCAAAAATGGCGTTAATACTGTCATGTCAAACTGATCACATGAGCCGCTACATACTCTATTTATGAACAGGTAAGTAGAAAATCAAGGGTATCGCTTTCCGGGGACCGTCGTTTCACGGATCTTTGGCACGCTACAGTGTTCATACCTATCGTTTTACAGTTCTTTGCCAGATCGCTATCTTCTCTTTTGGAAGCAGGATCCTCATAAGTCACCCATTGCGGGGCATCATTTTTTGGGAGCCTGTTGTTTTGCTAGGGTTCTGTTCATTTTCATGTCTGGATAGCAAAATCTCTGCCTGACCTGGGCATAGTGAAGTTGAGGGCCTCCAATGCTTCCTCCGCGATCTCCCCTTCGTGGCAGCCGTTGTAGCGCCCTGACCACACTGAGAACAATAATATTAATCATCATAATAGCAATAAGAAAAGTAATAGTAATACTAAAATACTAATGATCATAAGAAGAATAATAACAATATTAATCATATAATAACGGTAATAAGAGTACAAAGAGGCTTTCAGATTCAGTATGAGACAAAGGATCCGAACATGAGTGCCTCAGTCTGCGGTAGCTGCCGTGCAAAGCCAAGAAATGTGTGAAAGATCTAAGCTTTTTCAAAACGTCATGCAGACACCTACAGCAGAGGTAACGGCAACAAGCTCTTTCTGGAATTGACGATGCATTAGCCAAAGGTCTGATCCATTCGCTTGCAGCACAGCGTGGTCGCGTGCGACAGTTGCTGACAGTGAAGGCATTCGAAAGGCTGGCTGGCCCCGACTTGCAAACAGTGAATTTGGGTTTCTGACCGGGGTCAAACTGCAATGTGAAGCCCAGAAGCTGAGAATTGCCCGCTCCTGTCATGTGTGTTCCAGCTTCTACTAATTCTACTAAATAGGCTGGATGAGCGGTATTCGAGTTTAACCCCGGCCCAACCGATGTTTGAAAGCTCATGAGCATTGGCAAGATGCTGTGCCAAAGGATCTGATCCTCAAGCCAGGCACAGCAGGCAACATCAACACCTCAGCCCGTCCAGGAGCAATAGTTGGTGTCACCCTCAGGCGCGTCAGTGGAAACTTGGATTTCCACCTCCTCGCAGGGAGTCTTCTGCTGCACCAGAGCCAAGAATGCTTACGTCATGAACTTGGGACGTATTGCTGGCTGGCGACTATCGATAAGTCTAGGAAGCTCGACAGCGTGTGTTTCTGATGCATCAAAAAACTTAAGGCTTCCACACCAGGGTGCTTTGGTCGACTCTGGAAGATAAAGGCAAAGCTTGGCGTCAAACCCCAACCGGACTTAGACAAGCAAGCATCTTCCGTCCTGCGTTTGCCGCTCGAACAGCTGCGACGTGAGTTCGTTCAAGTCGTCACCAAACCGCAGGGAAGTCTGCTCCAAGACCAGGCGAAGTTCAGCTCGAAGCTTGCAATTCACAGCCGCGAATCCGCCTGGCAGGCATCAGGCACGAGATTTTACACCCAAAGTCATATAAAAAGTAGTATCAGCTAGTCCTTCAGCTTCGGGGCAGGACATCTCCCCCATAGCCAACTGATAGTCATGCTTCCCGCTTTCTGCTGGGCATCTCCAATGCAACAGGATCTGTGCATATCTTGGCAAAATCCTTGCAGTCACATACCCCCCATGCCCAGCCCAAATGGCGCGCCAACCTGGACACTGCCCTAAACAAGGGCACCCCAACATAGACCCCGATGAATTCTAATCTTTATTATTATTGGGACCCCATAATGGTACCCATCATTTTGGCAAACCCCCCACCCCCCAAAACCTCCCCCCCAAGAACCATGCCTGGCACTGCTCGGACCTCCTCATCGATGCGAAGCTGGCAAGGGCACCAGGCTTGTGAGAATCAAAGTGCTTTGGCATGGGTCAAAAGGCTTGGTGGGACATAGGAGCTACAGCCAAGATTACCTTTGTCCTGCTCATGTGAGCTAGTGTAAACTCCTACTTCCCCCCTTAGTAACTCCTTATATAATCCCTTATAGAACCTCCTTGAAGGAGATAAATAGTGTTCTGTTTGTTGGCGTGCTATGCGGACTACACTCATCAATATCACGAGGCCAAGCATTGCGAAAATCATCAGCAGTGTCACTGCTCATCCTATACAGGTCAGTCTTCCAACCCTAAACCCTAATCCCTATAAACCTCTATATAAGCCCAGTTTCCATTTTCTTTTCCATTTGATTCTCCACTATAGGGGGTATCCCTCATTTGGGGACTATATCAGTTTCCATCTTATTTTCCACTATCCCAATATGGCCCCAATATACTAAAGCAGTGTCCATCTTATTTTCCATTATCCAATATAACCCCAATGTACAATAGCAGCTTCCATTTTAATATCCATTCTCCCAAAACAACCCCAATATACTATAGCAGTTTCCATTTTTGCCATTAAATCATAGATCCTAAACCCTACACCCTAAACCCTTCCACCCTAAACCCTAAACCCTAGACCCTAAACCCTACACTCTAAACCCTATAAACCCTAAACTCTAAGCTCTAAACCCTAAACTCTAAACCCTCAACCCTAAGCTCTAAACCCTAAACTCTTAACTCTAAACCCTGGCAGGTTGTGGCC